ATAATTTTTTTTGTCAAGATCTTCACTGCCCGTAACGCGTGTTCTTATCATATTATCGAGCTCATTTTGTAGCACATCGGTAACTTCCTGGTCGACAGTCACCTAAAAAATTCTCACCAGTAGCAACAAAAACGTTATAAAATTCACGTAAGAGTCAAACTGCCAACTTTAACTCCACTTTTGAAAATAACGAAACGAATGGTCGCTTAACCTTTTTCAGCACTCCGTAAAACAGTCGACTAAAATATAAATTAAGTCTACTTTAGGCAAAAGATTTCTGGCATAAAAGGCAAACTCACATCCGGCATTGAAAATCCTGCAAAGGACACAGCTTCCTCTACGGATCTCGTTATTGCAGATGATATCACAGCATTAACAGAACCTTCCACAGGCACTTTCATTCCCTTCAACAAGCCTTGTACAGAGACATAAAATTGATTAAAAAACACATACAAAGAAGAATAAAATGATCCGAAACATAACCTGTGGCAACAAACCTTTTCTTTTGTGGAGCAACCTCCAGCTAAATAAGCACTGCTCAGCGCGCTCGGATTCACTGCTACTGAGCGATTCTGATCGGTCTTAAAGACCGCTGACCAAGCCTAAAATGACGTGGCTTATATTAATGCATCAAAATCCTACAACCACTGCTTTACCGAACATACTTGCAATACTGCACGAACCACTACTGAAATTCTAGTCTTATCGCGCAAGCTGGACAAAAAAAAAACACTTTTGCGATTAACGGACAGCAAACTAGACCTTGGGCAAACCTGCACCCGATTCATCACTACCGTCAGAATCTTGTGTTTTATCGACGTCCGCATCGACAGTTCTGTCTTCTCTTCCAGCCTGAAACAAATGAAATTCGACACATGTTATAAATCCACCAGAGACAGTATAACTGCTCCTCGATGGATGGACTAAAACAAACCTCTTCCTCAGCAAATGATGGTTCTGCTGTACTCTCATTTTCGGCGCCTGACGATAACATATTCAATGCGGCAGCATCAGCACCTTAACGGATCAATATTCAGTTTTTCTGTCAGAGATGGCTGGTTATGGCTAGAAAACAAACAGTCACCTTCGTCGGTTAAAACAATATCTTCCATCATGTCACGAATGCTGACAGGAGGTTGCTCTCTCTGCAGCAGAAGTCTTATATGTGTAATGCTCATATGTGACATGTCGGCGAAGAGCTGGCGCTCATTTTCTGTTGCAGCTTGATCCTTAAATAAATCTCGTTTGAAACGGAAGCTGAAAGGCACCAAACGAAACACGTACAAATTAACCGGATCTGATAGCATTACAGTTACTTTAACAAGTTGTAGAGCAACTTTCCTAACAGGAAGCTGAATGGCAAAAGCTGCAGCTGTGTAAAATCTGCAAGTTTTTCATTGGGACCGACAAGGACAAATTCACAAGGCAACACACGTTCTTGCACGACTTATAAAAAGAGTAACCGCGAAACGAAGTAGAAGTCTTTCGTAATCGCATGGGTCACCGTTCATCGAAAGGTTCGTCAAGAAAACCGCTCGACAAACATAGGCCTTGAACATATCGACAATGATTTCCGAGTATTCCTCCGGTAACATTTCTGAACATTTTGTGCAGTTCAATAGGCGCAAGTAAAGAATGACAAAATATCAACATCACATTTGTAAAAAAGCGTTGCAAAACTGAATAACCGGGAGCATTACCGTCGTCAGTACGCAACAAATGGTGCAGAAATTCGTTCACAACTCGACGTTCCAGGCGCATTACACTGCCAATAATATCAACTCGACCAACACCATCAACATGCACGAAGCGATGCACATCCTCAAATGCAAAAAAGCGATCCAACTCCGATTCCGCCAAAGCAACGCGCTCTGTCGCATTTGCTATATCTGAAAATATCTCTCACCTCATTTGCACAATAGAAACGGACCACTTCGGAGCTGTCAAAATGGATTTTTAGGCTCGTAAGGCGTTCATTTTCAGCAGGATTGTCCGTTTATTGTTTGTATGACTTATGCATTCCAGTCGCCTGATAAGCTGTGCTTTATCCTTGATCTGATGAACGGCGGCGACCTACACTATCACCTCAGTCAGCACGGTGTCTTCTCTGCTAAAAGTCGGTTTGTGTATGTGCTGCTTGCAAGCTGAACAAATCCCATTCTCATTTTGCAAACCCAATACTGCGCAGTGAAAATCGCTGCAGTGGTCTCAATGCAGTCGTAAGAAGATGCAGAAACAAGGCACAAAAAATGCAAGGAGCTTTGATCCACCACGGGGAATTGTCCTATGGCAAACAAAACCTCCTTGCTTTTTGTCCCAGTTAATGCGATAAAGCACGAAACGTATGCTCGGATGAAGCCATCATATTGATAAAACACGGCTTATGGGTGTTAAAACAGATGAGTGTAAGGCATTCGAAATCGCTGGACAAATACCTTCATCAGACGGGTGACAGTTGTCATTGAAAACGTTCTCGATGACAAAATGACGAATGAGGTGGCGATGTCTGCTAAGAAACGCAAAATCGCCAACCAATAACTGCATAAATTCAGAAATTTGCAGTAATTCATAAGCCAAAACCATGACAAGGTTCACAAAACCGATTTTCTCTGAAAAGAACTGCTCTCTAAACGATGTGCCCGAGGAACAACGTTTCGCAATTTACAGAGTAATGACATGAAAATAATTAAACCTGTGGTCATCACAGTAGGCTGATGCCCCATTTGGCGCGCAGCTTGAGCAAGAGTCGTAGAACTGCCGGACTGTATAAATCGCATAAGAGTGGATGCGGCTCGCATTATATCAGTAACTCCTGAGTCAGCAGCACCAGTAGCAGCAGCAGTAGCAGCAGCCTCTCCACTTTCTCAAAAAACATCAAAATGAACCAGACCTCATTATTCCACAAGATCAAACCACGGGGAACTGCGGCCAAAAACTTTAAAATCGACACATTCTTTTTTTAACAGAATTAACTATTCGGTAAAAAACCGGACAAAAAAACAGAAGAGAAGATGCTTTTGGAAGGGAAAAAAGCAATGTCCTGCAAATTTTGACAGACAACCTCCAGCAGCAGAACTGGAATCCTGCGTGTCAGATGTCACACTTTCTTGAGTTGTATCAAGAGGCTCGCGGCTGTCTTCGTCTCCTGTGTTCGCTCGAGGAGTGTCGGAAAGTCCATGCTACAAAAAAATTAAACCGAATGTTTTCTTGTCCCCGAAACAATGAAAACTCAACTGGCTAACGGGACCTGACCCTCATTTCACTGAATCACTTCGCCTCCCCAAATATTTCTCCAAAAATGATCACTACTGTTAACATAACTATGAAAGACAAAGTCAACAAATACTTACAAAACCCATTCTGTCCATCACAGGAGACGGAATATCGTACCCGTATATCGGAGTATTCAGAACTGGAATCATGCCGTAATCTACAAGAAGCAAATATTACTTTTTCGAAGCACATCCGAAATGACCCCCAATATTTTCAAAAAATAAAAAAAAAAAAAAAA